CCCCGAACCCTAAAAACGTTTTAAAAACGTTTTTAACGTAAGGAAAGTAACTTAAAGTTTTAAAGAAAAATTCGACCCAACTATTTCGTTCCAAGTAAAAGTTATATAAAGCAAAACAGCAGTGGCTTCTTAAGGATCTTTTTAAACTTTAAAATAGAATTTTGAACTGTAAGTGTTAATGTTTTGCCACCCGTGGAGGGGGGGGCCTATATGATTGGGGGGAGGGAAATAGCTCAGTGGTAGAGCTCATGCTTAGCATGCACGAGGTCCTGGGTTTAACCCCCAGTACCTCTGTTTACAAAACACACACACACACACACACACACACAGAGCCTTGTATGTTTTGCCACCCAGCTTACTAAAGAGCAACTTTATTCCCAATAATGAAATACTTACAATACTGGGAACTATGTGGGGCTGTCTGGACAAAGCTGTTACAGAGAAAAGCATGCTTTCCTGTGGTATAACTTTCTATGTAGATTGCTATGAACAAAAGTAGTTGTTTCATGTGTTTACTTGGTACTAACATATAGTTTAATATATTTTGAGTTTTAATATTACATAAATTTTATATTTACTCCCATTTCATCTTTTAACTTTGTGTTGTACTATACTTTAGTTATGTTTTAGGGTCCTCTGAAAAGCAAATTGTGTCAGAAGATAAAGAGCTTTTTAATCTTGAAAGCAGAGTTGAAATAGAAAAATCTCTAAAGCAGGTAATTTTGTTCTGCACTTTTTGTATCTTTGTATGAACAACTTCCAGTTAGTGAACAAGAGCTTCTCCACAAATAAGGCTTATAATGTCTTCTGTTTTGATCTTAGCACTTTCCTGGTGAGAGTGCTTATTTTGTTTTATTATTAGTTGTTTATTTCAGTTGGTAAGGTTGATTTTTTGGGAGCCAGATTACAAATTATGGTAAAGCTTTATAAAAAAATAATAATAAGACATTTCATGCTAAAATCAAAGTAATATATATTCTGAAACTATTAAAATGGAAATATATTTTAATCAAATCAATATTTCCTTTGATTCAACTTACATGGTAAAAATAACCTTGTTATTGAATGTTAACATCTTCTCATTGCCAGATAAGCAAGAGAGTGATGAATGTATAAAAAAGCTGTAGATTAGAGGTTGAGAACTACTGTTAATAGATGTATGTCTTATATAAATAGAATTCCATTAAAGAAACACTGAATATCTATGTGTAATCCATAACATTCAAAAATTGTATTAATGATGTATATTTTAATCATATTTAACCATGTATAATTTTAATCATATGTATTTTTTTTTGTATTCTTTTTTCAATTCAATAGATGGAGGATGTTTTGAAAGCATTACAAACAAAGCTGTGGGAGGCTGAATCAAAATTGTCCTTTACCAGTTGCAAAAGCTGAAATCGGTTCCAAGTCCCCCTTCTGGAGTCTTCCACTGGTGGACAGTTGTTTCACACATAGCGTTTCTTGTTATAATTTACTTCACTTCAAATGGAAAGAATTCTGAATGGGCATATACATTCTATTCTCTTGTACTGGTCAAATGAGAAGAATCGTGGAATTACTTTCCCGGCTGTACCTGATGGTAGAAGGAGGATTGTTTCCCAAATTCCAGTTTTAAAGTCGTGATACTTGCTGGAAGTGGCATTTAGGGGTTTTTGTCTGGGTAACAAACTGCCGTGATTTTCTAGACTGTTTTCTCTGTACCAAATTCATTATTTTTTATTTCCTATTTGTGTAAACTTTATTTCACCTTTAATACTTTGAACAATATTTAATATTGAGTGGTAAGAAAATCTTAGAGGTTTTTCTGCCCGCTATGTGGTTGAATCTTCTCTGAAACGAATGCAAACAGCTCTGTGGAGAAACTGATCAGCTGAGTCACCTGTCAGGACTGTTTGAAACCTTGCGCAGGAGCAGAATAGCATGTATTCTAGTAGCCGCAGAATTCCACTTATCCTGTTTGTTTACTACTTTATGCCCCCCAAATCTGGCAGAATATTTACCAAAGTGGTAGTCATTTCTGGGGGTGGGATTCTGGGGATATTTTCAGCTTTCCAGTTTTCTATAATGTAGGACTTAGAGTAAGCACATGTTATTTTTATAATCAGGGAGAAAATAAAGATGAAAGCAAAATGCTCTACAGTCGATTTTTACAAAACTGCATTATTTAACTGAGCTCAAAAGTCCCAGTGCCCTGGGTTCCACACATTCCAGGACGTGGCTGGGTGGCGGGCCTGCTCAGGCCTACAGAGTCGCCCCAGGGTTCCCCAGCCCCTCTCTACCTTCGAGTACAGATGAGGCCACGTGACACTAGTACTCAGCGCGTGAGAGCCCCCCAGCTTCTGTCTTCCCGATGACTTCTGAGAATGCGTCAAGTCATCACAGCAGAAGGTCCTGAGTCGTGACTTGATCACGACAGTCACTGGGTTCTTTTCGATAGGTCAGCAGCCTCTGAGAAGCTGAAACTAGCGAGCCCTCCAGGTCTGTTGACACCTACTGGCAACAGGACAGTCATCCTGCCTCAGCAGGCTCGCCGAAGTCCCAGGGCTCTGTCCTTCTAGTGCTTCGGTGGCACTTGTGTCGAAGTTCATTTGGAGCAGATGGGAGAGCATTTTAACAATAAGAACAGCTAACTGGTGGCACGGGTAACAGAATCCTCCAACAATCACTTTCAGGGCCATTCCAAAGAGGTAGGCAGTCTGGCTCCCCAGGTCCTTTTACCCTGTTCATTCTGGGCCAGGATTTCTAGCTAATCCAAACATTTTGAAAACTACTCATTTCACCAGTGAAAAATAATTTCCACAGTGCTAACCAAGCTTCTGTTGTGGATTGAGAGAGAAACAGCCCAAGTGCCTTTGTGGCTCCTCTAAGTGTGGGCCTTTGATTAGCCTTTTCTGGCAAACTCACTGCCCTGGAATTTTATTTCCAGGTAGGGTCAGATGAACTTAACCAACCATCCTTGGAGTGTGGGTGGAAAGCTCACACACACTTGTATCACATGGTCTTCGCTGAAGCATCTGAAAGTAAATAAACGCCAGGAAATAGTTGTGTCTCATAAGGCACAGCCCGCATCTTTGGCCTCTGCCTGTGATGTCACTGAAGGGGTGGCCTTGCCATCGCCGAGGGAGAGGCAGCTCTGAGGCTCCCACACTGCTCACCCCGAGGGGCCCACATGGGACCGCTTTGTCCTCCCTGTGCGCTGCTGTGGCACTTAGAGGACAGAGGCCTTTCCCACACTGTGGTCCAGCCTCCCCTGGGGCCACCTGTTTCCCTGAAGCCTGGTGGCTTGGCTTTTCTGGCTTTGCATGAGAGCTCATTGGAATGCTGTGGGGTTTTTGTTGTTTCTTCCTACTTGCCCTGTATGTCCACATACTAAAACCTCTTCCTTGGGAAGTGGGTTCTTGCTCCCATATTCCTTATAAATGCCACGTGCTGTTGTTTCTGGTTACCAAGCCCTGGCAAAGCACTGCCCATGAACAGAAATGAGGGTCCTGAAGCAAGAAACAGGCATTCCAGCCCATATTGTGCAGGACCCAAAAAAGAGGCTTCAGAAAGGATCTACCCAGAATTTGTTTCTTCAGCCATCGTTGAAAAGGGGACTCCCTAGTCCTTTAGGGAGCAGTGGAAGACTGGTGTCAGGACCTGTTACGTGGCATTTACAGACTGTTGTAAATGCATGGGTGTAGAACACTGTACATGGTTTTCATCCCAGAATGTGGGTTCTGTCCTTCTCAGCTAGCTCTCCTGTTAGGTTCAAACATTTCCAAGCTGAAGAGCCCGCTGTGGGCGGGCTTGTGTAGCGACAGTGCCTGGATGGAGTGTGTCCTGCCTGGGTGATTCTGGTCATGCTTGGGGCATTTAAAATGAGCAAAACCAGGAGAGTGCCTCCTTGCAGGACTGGGTCTAGGTGTTCAGTAAGAACTTCTTGAAAGAAGGAACCATGATGAGCAAGGTGATGTGTTTTTGAGGGAAATCTCAGGGGTAGCAGGGATCCTGGGCCAGAGTCCCCCCTTCAACTGCTTTATTAGCCGTGTGACCTTGGGCAGTCATTCAATCATTTTGAGCCTCTGTTTTTTAAAACGTCACAGAAATGAATGACGAAGGGTTAGTCTTGCTTAAAATGAGTCGATCTAATTCAGTCTTCTAGCCAGTCTCCCTGTAAGAGTGTATTGTATGGACATAAAAGAAAAACATCTGAAACACCGTATTTAAAAAAAAAATAGTAACACTAGATTTAGTACTCCAATTACAAATACACAGACATTGTAGAAAACTTGAAAAGTAGAACAATAGCACAAAGAACAAAATAAAATCCACAAACAATCTCACAACCAGAGTAATGATCACTTTTTCGGAGTATATCCTTGTAGTCATTTTATATGCAAATTTACCATTTTTACTTAAAATATTTCATAAACGTTTCTGCATCATTAGACATTCTTTTATAACCTGATTTTATTCACTGCCTAGGACAAAATACCTATTTTAAAACCTGTGTTGGGATCCTAAGGTATGAAATTCACACTTTTTAGTGGCTTAACAACTGAGTTTGGACAAATAAGAGAGAAGGCATGAAAGAACTCTTAAAGCAGCCCCCTCTGGCTCCAGGGACTGCAGAAACTGAGAGTCAATTGTTCAGTTTTCAGGAATTTGTGAGCTGACTCTTAAATCTTTGGAAGCTTCAAATTGTCGGTGATTAGGAGTCTACACCAGAGCAATCAGCAAGTGCTAAAAAATCAGGATTTCTTCTCCCCAGAGAGCTGGTTTCCCAGCATATTACTGTCTATTTTGAATTCCCCTGCTTACTGTTAACTGACTTCTCTATTCAACACCCAAAAGACTAGATCCTGATACCCTTTCATTTAATAAATCTGAAATGAAACACTGTATCTTAAGACCTTGGTGATTACAGTCACCATCTTCACCTCTTCTGGGGGAAAAGCAAAACATTTGCGAACAAATGACTTAAGATTTTATATAAAAGTTGCTGAAAGATTTGGCCCCGTCCCTGATGAGCCAAATAACTCAGAGATAGGGTCTTGGAGCTTAGAAGAAAAGAGGCAGCTTTATTACTTTGCCGGGCAAAGGAGACTCACAGCAGGGTGGTGCCTTCAGAACTGTGCACCCACCTTGGGCACGGGGCAGGGTGATTATACAGCCAGGGCTCAAACAATAAACAATAGAATCATTTTCTGGTCATAAGACTTAGAGTGGTGTCATGATGCCTCCAGGCGACCCATTCCATAGAGGCTGGGGTTGTCACTTTTTCAATCTTTATCTCATAAGAGCCCAAGGCGTGGTCTTCTTGGTATTTAGCCTGTTTTGTAAGGTTACAGTTCTGTGACTTTCTCCCTGGAGAACAACTCAGAAACCAAGCATGATTATTACTTTTGATTACTGGAATAAAGCAGAAACAGTAAAATTAATAGCTTTATTTTAACAACAGGCCTGGAGCTCTGAGCAGCAACCGGTTGGTCAGTCAGGCCAGTTGACTGTTTTAAGGGCAAGCTTAAGAACAAGCAATCCGTTAGTCTAAAAGTGCCATTTTATTAATTATTCTTTATAAATAGTCTATGTTACACACACCTTTTTTGTCCTTCCTGAATACGATAAATAACTGAGCAGTTGCTTGCCTGTGAACAAACAGAAAGTTTGTTTGCAATCACTTGTGAACTGAGGGAAGATAATTTATTCTTGAATCTAACCCAGACATGTTTTGTGTGCTAAGCGTTAATTTTGTTTAATGAGAGCTGAGTTCCATCTGCGGGGTGTTTTGTTATCCGAGCTGCCGGTCACGATGGTCCGAGTGCAGTCCAGGCCAACCTGTATAATTGTAGTCTCCTCAGAATGTTTACACTCATCTAAAATTTTGAGATATAAACAGAGGCAGCGTGAAGTGAAGGGGGCTGAGGAAGTGCTGTGCTGGGGTCCAGCGTTTTATTGGCCCAAATGTGATTTCCAGTAGAACTGGCCCCATTTCATTCAAGTCGGTCTCGACCTCTGCTAGCCTGACAAAATTAAATTAACTATCACTTTTTTCCCCCGTAAATGATTACCACCGTGGTTTTTAGATCCTCTCTAATTCTAAGGCAGAGAAATGGACAAGGTAATCTCTCAAGGGTCCCTTCAACCTATGTAAGCTGAAAGGAAACCAGAAATAATTCAGAGGAGGAAAATGAGAATCCAGGCACCGACTTTGAAGAGCTGAGGAAACGGAATAATTTAGTCCTCTTCTTAACATTGTCACCTTCATGTTTCTCCTGGGAGCTGTAGGCTTGTAATTTTGAAGGTTTCTTGAGAATCATAGAAGTTTTGAAAAAGCAGGATGTATGTTTGATTGAATAACATTTTCCAAAGCAAATACAAGGGTGTGTAACCATTTTGAAGAGAAATCTTAAGAATTCTTCAAAGGGTTTTCCCTGAAGGGGACAGACGGCAGCTTGTGGCTGGGGGTGACCGCTCTATTCTTACCATTTAATGATCATTAGTGTGTACCCAGCACTGTGCTTGGATCTCCGCCAGTTCTCACAAAACCCTCTTCCACAGAAACCCTTCTTCCCATTCTATGGATGCCCAAGTCTGGCTCTGCCAGCGAGTGGACCCAGGGCTTTTCTCCTGTGCGTTGCTGCCTCCTCTCCATGCTGAGTGCAGTCGCGGTGCCTCCTTGCGTCTTGGCAGTAAAACAAG